TATATTATAAGAAATCAGATATACTATTTTATAATTTTTTAGACTTAATTAACTAAACTATTTCAAAGAGACAAATTGTGGTTTAATTTGTGTGTCTTTACAATCACATTGTGGCTACAATTGTAGTTGCAAGAATTATATTCGTCCATTTTTTTCAGTTATATCGCAACTATAAGAAAATATTTGACAATTAGTATTTCAGATGATTTTTTTACTAATTTATATTTTATTAGACCTAAATAGAGATATGTGGTAAATAAACTTATCTCATTAATCTATAACATTTTAAAAAATCATTTAAAGCAATCTTTAAACGTATGATTTGTATTTGTTTATTTATTTATTAATTAATTAATTATTATTACTACTACTTTAATAAAATTTCTCATTATACCATTTATGTTAATTATTACATCTTTTTTATTATTTATTTTAAGTTTTAATACAATACTTGTTCATAAAAAAGAATTTAAAGTTAACTATAAAGAACCTAAAAAATCATATCGATTTTTTCTATACAATAAGAAAATATATAGAAAATTTCATATAAACATGCCTCTTTTTTCCTCTCATTGTAGTTTATTATCCATTTTAAGGCCTAATCTTATAAATCAATTTTAATTCAATAAACAAATTTAATAACTTTCTATTAAAAAATAACTTTTAATTTTCAGCTAATATATAATTTTTTAAAATCAAATATTGTCTAATTTAAAACATCACATAGCTTTTGTGATTTGCTACCGAATGAACAAGGAAGAAAGTACATGCCTTGGCATTTTTACCAATAATGATTTGGGGTGTTTCAATATTGCCAGTTACAAAACTGGAAAGCTTTTGTTTCATGTCTTAAGCTTTGTGCTCCCATAACAGTGCTTTTGTGAGTTGTGTTTGCTAGAGCTAAAATGCCATCAATTGCATCAATCAGATCGTTCTACCCCGGTGAGAGACCGTATTTGTTGTTGTTTGCTCGGAAAGAATTAGATGGGGTACCCTCTTTCCATGGCTTGTCCATGAATTTGGACAACGTTATTAATTCGCATTATATTACTTTGATTGCTATAGTGTGAAATTAAGGGGCGAGGACTTGAACCCCTTTGTCTTTACTCTTTAGCATCCTATTCGTCTTGGCTTAGGTCGCTTTCAAATTTGTTTCCTTGCATTTATTTAATGGGGCTACACTTTTTTTTTTAAAAATAAAAAGAAGAAAAAAGCTTGAATGACAGAGCAGGTTAATTTAAAACAGTCACTATGGATTTTTGTTTTTCTTTTATTATTATAAGTTAAGGATTTGTTTTATTTAGATCACATGTATTTTTACAATGCGATGAAGCTATCAAATTTTTTATCCATAACATTTAAATCCAAAATTACTTAAGAAAAAGTAAATAAACTCTCATTAATATATTAACTAATTAATATAAAGTACACGCTCTTTAGACAAAAATGATCTTCTGAAAACGTTTATAAGGATATCTTACTTAAAATCCAAAATAGTTTCAAGTTTTACTTTTTCATATGGCAGACTTTCATTGTTAGGTTACAAGTGTAATAATATCAATCTTCATTAAAACTTGTATGCATTACAACGACATAAAACTAAGCAAGTAAGTCAATTCTCATTGACAAAAGAATTATATAAACAAGTTTAATATATATATAGTATTCCACATTCCACAAAATTAGTCGGAGATGGAACTCATTTCCAAAATGTCAATTTTAATTATCCATTCTCGTATAGTTGACTGTATAAATGAATGCAAAGAACTCCTGTCCTGCTATCACTACAGTCGACTTATTTAATATATATATTAACTTTAATTACGTTTGCTATTATTTTCGGATCAACATAACTGGCTAAAGAATTCTCTCTGATCCGAAAAATTTTTCTTTTCAATTTGGAAAGTAAATTAGTGTGTACATAGTTTAATGAATGTTAAATTAATATCACATATTCGCATTCATTATTTCATTGATTTGGTAAAAATGATGTTTAACTACTTTTAAGTTAAATTGCTTTTGCCTTAAATTAACATTATAAATTATAACTTTTTAGTTGAGTTAATTAAAAAATAAATAAATAGAAATTACGCCACTTTAAGATTGTAATCATCATCATTATATGTATTATTAATAAGTTTTGCAACACCTTTAATCCTAATCCCAATTTGATGCATAATGATGCGACAAACATGGTGTAGCTAGGTTGATATACTTGATATAATATCTTTAGGCCTATCTTGCTGTTTTTTTTTTGTAATTAATATGAATTCAGATATCTAAGTAGGTTTAATTTATATTGCAACGTACGGATTATTATCATTTAAACTTTTCAATCGAAATCCTTGATCATGATACCCTACCCCGCAACACAAAAAATTATAAAACTATATAACAATATGAGTGTATTTACAGTCTCCGCCACTTTTAGCTGCTAGGTAGGGTTACTTCAGAGTGGTTTCATTTAACGAGCCACCTCAAACTCGAAACTCCAGAAAGTTATATGCATCGAATAGCTGTCTTTCGCCTTTCTCACAACAATGTTGAACACAAGGGGGGAAGAAAACTTTTTAAAATATAAAATAACGGAAAAAGGGGGGAAAATGAAAGAAAACGGGGCTATGCAAATCAATGAGCGGGGTAACAATCCAGTTAGCTGTGTTTTCTTTGCGTCAAACATTTTTACAACAACAAGAACATAAAAAAAAGGTTTAGTATCTGTCACTTAAGCGCTTTACTGCTTTTAAAATGGATCAACGTTTTCACTAAACTCTATCAAAATATTTAACAAGAGCTAAAAGGCATCCAGTGATTTTTCACTTTGTGACTTTCTCTCACTTTTCCTATCAATGTGATAAGGTCTATGGAATTGAATATTCAGAAATCAAGTAGCTAGAAACCAAGGGCGGATGACAGGTTACAATTTACATGTGATTAGCAATTATTGGTTGTTTTACTTTACTTTTAGCCTACGCACCAACTTCCTAAAATTTATAAACTTAATAATCCTTTAATAAATAAACCATGCCTCTTGTAGTGAAGAATTATGGAGGTTATTTATTAGAAAAATTTATGGAGGACAAACACCAGTCTTCAATTCGCATACGATAGATGCATCGATAAAATTATGACTGTCACCTATTTTCATGGCCTCGCGGTTAGCAACCAGTGCCACCTGATTGAAAACTTCGTTGGACGTTTCCCTCATGTAAGTGGTTGGTAATTCTTTTTTTCTTTTTTGGTTTCTCAAAATTAATTGTATGAATGGAATTCATTTCGAAATATTAAATATTTTCGACTTTTCTTTAAATAAAATTGCTTTTTCGTGTTGGGATATAAAATTTGAAAACATGCATGCGTGTATGTATATTGTGCATGCGCGCACACTTACTTTATTATAATAAAAAATAAAAATTTTAAACTTATTCTAAATTTTATTTCTAATAGATTTTTTTAAAACTATTTTTTCCTGAACATCAAATTTTTAAGTCAATTATTCTAAAATCTAAACCAAAAGACACAAAGAATCTTTCTTATATTGTTAAATTCACGCACAAAGCAAATTACTATTGTCATTTTTGTTATACCCGTTGATATGAAAGGAATAACTTGTTTTTAAGACAATGATGAATATGAACGGAATAACTCTAGGAGGAAAATAATATTAATTGCAGGAGCAATACACCGAGCAACAGCTTATAAATCCAAGCTTAAGTTTGACCAATCAATTTGATAATTTTCGTCAACGAATTTGTTAATATTAATCTTAAAATTAATTTTAAGCAGCGAAAGTAAAATACTTTTTAAATACAATTATTTCTTGTATATTTCTAATATAATAAATATTTTTGTGAAGAAAAACTTTTCGCTAATTTGTAGTAACTTAATATGAACTTTAAAAAACTGTTCTTTTAATTATATGCTTACGCAATGCAATCTGTAGCTGCAAGAGTATAATCAAATATTAAAACAAACTAGCTAAGAAAAAAAACAAAGAATGGAGAAACAGAGAGCTGATTTGGGGATGTTTAAACATGATCGAAGAAAATGGCCGACAAAAATTGGATGGAGGTTAGCTAACCGGGAGCATTAGGGTCCATGCTGTGGGCATAGCCTATAATCTAAATTAAGCCTTCATGGACCTTGTGGGTCCCAACTGACCCATTTTCCATGATATTTGCTGTCGGTATGGTGTTCTTCTCTCAAGTTACGTGACTTTTGTTTCTTTGAGTTTTTTTTACTTAACTACCCTTGCATTCTAACCAACCTATTAATTCATAATCCCTAGAATACAATCTTCACTTATCCCATCCCATTTTTCCTGTTGAAATTATATAATTTTTTGTCTTTTTATTATATCACTCTTCGCATACATTAATTCTTAAAAATATTTTTCTCCCTCGCAAAAGATATATACATCCACAAAGAAGAAAATAATAGGTGTAAAAAATATATAATTGAATTCATACAAAAAAATTACAAACAGAGAAGAAAATAACCCATGATGTCTTATGCGTTAGATAGATAAACTTGAAATCCCACGCGAGGGGCTAGCCCGTGGATGACACTTTCCAAATTGATGATAATATTTTAGTATCTGACCAATATTGAGTGATGCGCGGGAGCGTGGTCTTCGCGTGATTATGATGGGGCGGTGGACAAACTTGGTATAATTAACACATTCATTCAGAGGATTGCCTTCTCTCTCTTCCCATTAGCAGAGAGAAGACTAATTTGGTCAAAGTGTCGTATTCAGCATCACGTGGCCCTCTGTGCCAATAGGATTTTGCATATATAAATACCAAGCTAGTGTACTGATTCCCCCACCAATCCATCTTAAACATTTCAGTACAAAAGCATAACGAGAGTTTTATAAAACCCTCATTTTTCGCTCTCCCCAGTTCCTCCCAGAAGTTCGAGCTTTCAATTAATTTCTGTAGTTCTATAAAGATAACCTGAGAAACCTCTTCATACATTTCCCACCCTTACCCACCAAGAAAATGAAGCTCCTGTCTACAAAAGCCACATGTAACTCTCACGGCCAAGATTCTTCATACTTCCTAGGATGGCTGGAGTATGACAAGAACCCTTACGATGAGGTTCTGAATCCCAAAGGAATTATTCAGATGGGTCTTGCAGAGAATCAGGTTAGAAATTAATCCTCGTTGCAACAGTATTATTTCAGTGCTTAATTACTCCTTTTCTATTATGAAAAAAGACAAAACTACGAAAAAGAAACAAAGAAACATAAATCACTGTACGTTTTTTAGTAACATTAATCTAGCTAGGACATGCCATCATATCAAGCTTTATTAACGTCCTAATAATTAAGGTGGTGGGCTAATAATATTTTGTCCTTTTTGCAGCTCTCTTTCGATCTCCTAGAGTCTTGGCTCGCTAAAAACCCAGACGTACCGGGATTCAAAAGCGATGGCAAATCCATTTTCCGCGAGCTCGCTCTCTTCCAAGACTACCATGGCCTTCCTTCTTTCAAGAAGGCATTGGTAGACTTCATGGCAGAGATTAGAGGAAACAAGGTGACTTTTGATCCCAACCACATTGTTCTAACTGCTGGAGCCACTTCTGCAAATGAGACTCTCATGTTTTGCCTCGCTGAACAAGGAGAAGCCTTCCTCCTTCCCACTCCTTATTACCCAGGGTGCGTATTTTTCCTTGCAAACTTGTGTAACATTCTGCATCCTCCTTTTCCACGAATATAACTAATGGAATCACATCATGAACAAGATATGATGTCATGTTTAAATATTGTGTGTATCTCTCTCCTAATAATAAACATTAAATAGGTGTAACCTATTTATTATCCATCAGGAGTGTGATAGATACATTATTTGAACTTGAACATGTCATGTTAAAATTTGACGTGAGAGAATACATTCTCCTAGTACCCACACCCACATGGTAATTCTTTTATGTTCCCCATACATTTTCCTGATGTTGCTTGAACTTGTGCAGATTCGATAGAGATCTCAAGTGGCGAACTGGGGTGGAGATCGTTCCAATACAATGCACAAGCTCCAATAACTTCCAAATCACTGAATCTGCTTTGCAACAAGCTTATGAAGACGCAAAGAAGCGTAACCTCAGAGTCAAAGGCGTGTTGGTGACAAACCCATCAAACCCACTAGGCACTACAATGTCCCGGAGCGAATTGAACTTGCTCATTGACTTTATCAAAGACAAAGACATGCATTTGATAAGCGATGAGATATACTCCGGGACCGTTTATTGCTCCCCAGGCTTCGTCAGCATCATGGAAATCCTAAAGGAAAGAAATGACCATAAGGATTATGATTATGATTCTCCAGTTTGGGAAAGAGTTCACGTTGTCTATAGTCTCTCCAAAGACTTGGGTTTACCAGGTTTCCGTGTTGGTGCCATCTATTCTGAAAACGACGTCGTTGTGGCGGCAGCAACAAAAATGTCAAGCTTCGGTTTGGTTTCCTCACAAACCCAGTACCTCCTCTCAGCCATGCTCGGCGACAAGAAGTTCACCAAAAACTACATCTCCGAGAACCAAAAGAGGCTGAAACGACGACAGAGAATGCTCGTTTCGGGCTTACAGAAAGCAGGTATTAGCTGCCTTAAGACCAACAATGCGGGCTTGTTTTGCTGGGTTGACATGAGGCACCTTCTCCATTCCAACACATTTGAAGCTGAGATGGACTTGTGGAAGAAGATACTGTACGAGGTTCGATTAAACATATCACCCGGGTCGTCTTGCCATTGCACTGAACCTGGCTGGTTTCGTGTATGTTTTGCTAACATGTCGGAAGATACTCTAAACCTAGCCATGAATCGATTGAAGGCCTTCGTTGCAGACTCCAATGACAACGGGTTTAGTAAGAGAAGAGCTCAGTCTTCAGGAACTTCAAGAAGAAAGTCACTCTCCAATTGGGTTTTCCGGCTATCATCTCGTGATCGTCGTGAACAAGAAGAACGATAGCCTGGTCATGATGTGAAGTCTGAGCGCATGCACAATTAACTTTATTTTTTTTTTCCTCCCCGAATATTTTTGGTGGAGTTAAAACGACATCTTTGTTGTTATTATTATTGTTATTATTTTTTGAATGGGGAAATTGTAGAGAGAGAAAGAAAAGCACTCTGTCCATTCGGATGTGAAGTGTGGACTTTAGTCAGCTAGCCTCGTTTGTATAAGTTCCATCTCAATCATCAATTACCTTATTGCGCAAGAAAAATCTTCTTAGTGTTTGAAATATATGAATATAGTTATCAATTACTGTTTTCATGATTGTTGTTCAAAAGAGACCTACATATATTTGCAATTTGCACATAAATCATATACCCGGTAGCTTATGGCTTAGTTCTAGATACTAATTATAATCAATTAATTATGGCATATGCATGTGTGAACACGCACATTGCTTACGAGAACTTACGCGTACGAAAATAATGGCATCGGCGAGATAAGCGGCCACACACCGTGGGTTGGGCTACCGACGCCTGCGCCGGTATTACACAGACCGACCTTCTTACGAAAATTTCACTGACCTAACAGTTTTCATCTTTTCAAGGCGTATGAGAAGGAGAACACGGAGAGTAATGAGTGAGTCAATGGCCAGAAAGTCAATAGGGCTTTTCATATAACTATTAAATGGAAAATAGTAATTTTATTTTAACATTTTTCACTGGAACAGTTGTATATCTTCGTGCATTTTATACTCTCAATTTTTCTTAAATTTTTAATAAAAAATTAAATAATTTTTATATTTTAAAGATAAATACATGTGTACTTTATAAAATAGTAGAATCATTATTAAGAGAGTTTACAAGAAAATACAATAAAGCTCTTTATATAATGCATTGAAGAAAATATTTATTGTTATTCTTATGTATTTATTGTTATTTTTATTTAAATAATCTTATTATTAATTTAAATAACAAATAAAAAGTATTTTAAATAAAAATATTTAAATTAAAATAATAATATACATGTTAGAGTGACGATAAACTCATTTACATCTCGTAATAAATAGAATGATAAAAAAATTGAAACAAAATATAAATAAAATAAATAGCATGATAGAGAGATAAGTATAAAGGTATGTAATGAAAATTTTACGTAAGAATATAATTACACCATAAAAATGTTTTTAATTCTCTCTTTTGAAAAAAAAAAGAAAAAAAAAAAATTAAGATCAGCAACGATATAAGGGAAAAAAAAAAGTGGAACATACAACGATATAAGAAAATAATCATGCGAGGTTCAGCTTTGGTTATGTGGCGCGTACAAAATAAAAACTGCTTGCGTTGAAATTTAAGCAAGGAATTTGGAAACCCTTTTTAAAATCCTCACCAACTACGCACGCAAGCGCAAAAAACGTGCAAAAGCTAGAGGTTTTTTCAACCAAAAAAAAAAAAAAAACAAAGAAAGTTGAAAACACTTGGCTTTGTTGAACTTTCTGGGAGTAATCCTCACTGCTCAAAAAGTGATTTTGTCTCAAAACGATTACGAGGTGGCTCTCTCTCCGTGGATGATACGAACTTTCTTTAAGCAACTTCTAGCTTTGAGTCACTTTTCAAGAAATTAACGGACGCAAAAAGCAGTATGAATTGATAATGGTTGGATGAGTAAAACTCGGGTAAAACACTATCACTTTTTTTGTAATTTCAATTCACAACAAAAATTATCACATTAGCCACCATTTTTTTTTCTTGCGCCGTATAATTTACTTTAATCCAATTAAATAAATATCCGTTTGATTATATGTATCATATTTTATTTCTCAATTTATTTTTATTTAGTGATTAAGTAATGATAATGAAAAAATAAATGAAAAAGAAAAGCAATAATAATAATAATAATAATAGTGATGGTAACGATGATAAATGTGTTATTTATGATAGTAGTTATACTAACGGTAATGAATAGTATTAGCATTGATGGTGCAAAACATACTTTATTTTAAAATTTAAATATAAATTTTAAAAATTAAAAACCTGCAACTATTCAAAATATGCCTTAATATATAGTGTCCAACTTTTTAATGTAACCGCAGTTACTTTTGGAAGTAATCATACTTACCACATTATAATTTTTTTATATATATAATTAAGGCGAGTAGTTCTTTAATAAAAACATTAAATTGAACTTTGCTTACAAAAAATTTAAAAGTATCATGTTTTAAGGTAAGAAAAGTGATAAGACTCAAAGAACATTTAAGAAAAACCATTAAGGTTAGTCTAAGGCCATGTTTGTAATTTTTAAAAATATTTTAAAATTAAATTATGATTTACAGGTTTTATAAAAATTGATGTTTATAAAAAAAATTTGGAAAATATTCTAGAATTTAAAATTACATTTTAATGAATTACATCATAAAAATATTTTAAAAAAATTTTAAATCAGTATTTGCTTGTAGTTGAACTAGTGTTAAATAATGGTCACGTAAAGAAAAATAAGATCATTCATTGTTCATCAAGGAGTATGTCTTACTTAAAGGAGTGAAAATCAATTAAATTCGCTAAAGCTGACAAATGGCAATTTTACTGTGTTGATCAACTCAGATTGCTTCGTACTTTCTTAAATTCGTTTTAGGTATTATTTTGGTACACGTATTGTTTTTTATATAAAAATAAAAAGAGGTCATGCACATTTTTAATTGAAGAAATTTAGTAATATACTAATATATACAATTTTTTTAGATACCAAATACTTATCCCTTTTATGCTTAATTAAGTTGGAGACATTGTGATGTTATAAAGTATAATAATTAATTGCAGAAAATCAATTAAGAATTATTCAGTAAAAAATTCACACAGCTTAATTTTATTTTTCTTAATTTACGCATTGTGAAATCTAGGCATGTGCTATAGAAACTATATTATCTGTTTTTTCTCACACAGTCCCCTTCACATTGAACAATCAATATTTTCGTTACAACTAACTAACATTTCATGAAGTTTGTTCCGCGCATGTTTGTTAATATACGCACATAACTATGAAAACATTATACATGTCATCGACACGGTATTTTGTTGAGATATTTTAAAATGCACCCTGGATTCAATATATATCTCGAACAATGAAAATTAAAAGCTTATTGCAGGTAAAAAAAATACGACATATTTTCTATTTCATTATTAGTTTTTACGCCCAATCACAAACGAATTTTAATTATGCTAAAAAGACATCAACAGATTTTTGGTTTCACTGTACATACGCACACCTAAGAGTGCAAGAACACACACACTCACACTTTACACATTTTCTTATCTTTTAATCGATATAAATTAATTTTTTACAATTTTTAAATTTTTAAAATAATTTTTAATGTATATTTAAAAAATAAAAAATTATACTGTTTAATCTCATATAATTTCTAGTACAAATTTATTATATAAAAACTTTCATTTTATCCCCTTTTAAAAATATTTATAATAAACGTTTTCTTAACTGTCCCCATAATTTAATTGTAAAAAAAAAAATCCCAATAATTTATGCATGCGAGATGTATTGTTTAATTGACTCAATTAATTTTGAGTTTTTGCCAAAATTATACTCACAATGCAATTTATATCGTCATTTAATTATAATATATGAATAAGAATTATTAATTTGTATATATAATATATGAATACAAATTATTGAATCAGAATAATTTTGAAGCATTATTAAATGAAAATGTTTTAAGGGAATAAGTTTGTATTAAAATTAAAATTTTTTAAAAATAATTTAAATCATTTTTTACTTCTATTTTTTTTTCTTTCTTTATTTTGTATCTCAAGATTTTTGCTTAAGAAAATTTAACTGAAAAGTAAATTTAGAGTTTAAAATGTTATAGAATTGCCATATAGTTTTATCTTTGAATTTTGAAAAATATTAACATTAACTATGTTAATTTTACATAATACTACAAAAGGGATATTTTTTTTAATCTTAAAGAGAATATTCATTGCATACACTTTCAATAAGTTATTATCTATCTATCTATCTATCTATCTATCTATCTATATATATATATATATATATATATATATATATATATTTGTGGCAGTACCCTTTACTGTTTTTTAATATTAATTCGTGATTATTTTGATGGAGAACAAATTAAAATTTTGTATTTAAAATAATACCATTTGTTTACATTAAAAATAAAATATATTTTGTAGTTTTTACTTTAAATCATGAAATTTATCTAAATTATATCTGTATTTTTTCAAAAATGCATAGTAGGAGTAAATATTTACAATACTAAAAAAAATCAAATTATTCTATTTAAATTATAGATGAAATTAATTGTACTAATATCTAAATTTCAATTGTATATATTTACTCCTTATAGAATTAAAAAACTTTCATTAGAGTGAGATTGAAACTATAAATTTAAATGTCAGGAGTACTAAGAAAATTCATCACATACTAATGGAGATTGTAGGAAAGTCTTAATTAATATATAAATTACAGGGATAAATATTTTATTTAAAAAAAGATAAATGTTTTTATTGTATAAGAATGAAATTTTACACTGAATTGATAAATTTCATTTATAAATATTTGTATTATGTAATAATGAAAACCTTATACGAGAATACATTATTATCTAAATCACATATGAAAACAAATTGAATCATGGGGATAAAAAGTTTACATAAAATGGTAAATTCTATACTACCTTATCAATCAAAGAGATTTTGGTATCTCCTTGAATTAAATTAATAAAATTTAAATACATGTTTATTATTATCTATGTAATTATAATACAAAAAAAATCTCAAGCGAAATAAAAAGAGAAATAAGACCACTTAAATAAAATTTCTGTTAAATTAGGTACAATTTTAGAAATATTATGATAATTGCTTTAAAAAATATTAAAATATGATATTAGGTAACTATAATAATTGAAATATTAATATAATTAATGATTGAGTAGTTAAATTATTGTTATTCAAATATTAAAGTAAGATATTAGAGTGTAGATTATA